TGTGGAGTGAGAACGCGCGTGAATGTGACCTGAGAGTTACCGAGACGCATAGGCTTAGGTTTGGTGTTCTTTTGGTGTGGTTACGACCGACAGTAACTGTGTTCTAGTTTTGTTGAGCATTAAAGAACGCAACAACGTTGACAGCGTCTCCTGCCTCTTTCTTCGTCCAGTCGGACGTTACAGTATATTTTGAGTCAAATCACCCTTTAAAACTACGTCGCGCACCCGAATTAGAAGCCGTGCACTTATACGGCCGTAGAAGACGAGTACAGCCTCTACCAGCAGCCTGTACGTGGCTCTCCGGCTCTGCAGACAGAACCTTCCTATTGGATCCGATCCCGCAGCAGTTCACAACGTTTCCGGCCTCAGTTACTACTGCTCATGCGCAGAGCCGCTGTTTTTTCCTTTCTTAGAAAAGCAAAGTCTGTGCTTTAATAGTGTGAGGCTTTTGATAAAGCATCTTAAACAAATGTATCCTTGCAAATAAGGTATTTCCAAAGAAGTTTAGGAGGAGAGATGGTATCGGTATCGGCAGATACTCAAAGTTAAAGTATCGGAAATCAAAAAGAGGTATCAGTCCATCCCTAGTACATAAAGATTTACATGTTTTTTTTTCTAACAAGTAATGTTTTGAAGGTTTATTCTAGCTCTAATACTACTATCTGCAGAATCAAAGGTTTATTTAGCCCAGATACTACTTTAGGTACACATTTTTGTAGAATTAAAGCCTTATTTAGCTCAAATACTACTTTCTGTACATACTTTTTTTTATAGAATTAAAGATTTATTTAGCCCAAATGCTACTTTCTGCGCATGTATTTATTGATTTACAGGTTGCTCCATCCTAGCTTTCTAACTTTACTCCAAATACTACTTTCTATCCAAGTATTTAAAGATTTAAATGTTTGCTCCACACAAATAATATAACAAATGATGGTTTCAAAGATTTATTTCCCCCCAAATACTACTTTCTTTCCAAGTACTCATCGTTTTAAAGGTTTAGTCTACCTAAAATACTACTTTCTGTACACATAGTGATAGATTTGGATGTCTGCAAAGATACTGGTGCTGTTCAACTGAAGACATCAGCATTGTTTTGGTCATGCTCATTAAATACTTGCACTATGATTGTTGTCTGTCTTGGCCATAAATGTTGTCCTTGTGTCACAACGTCATCTGCCTTTAATCATTCACCTCAGTAGGTGGCGCTGTTGTGATGAACAAGGGTCCCAAAAATGTGGTTCTTTTACTGTGGCCCTTTAAAATGCAGCTTCCTCTGCTGCAGACACACTCTGCTCACATGAAGCCTGGCGTGTGTCAATACTATGCCAAACACTCATTTCTATTGCACTGGCCAGAGTTTTGTGCATGAATGAACACATTTTAATATTAAGTGATGCATTACGTGTTGTCAGCTTACTTTTCGCCATCGGACTAAAGGCCTTGACTGGTCATACAGTACCTGCATGTTTGCAGTTGTCTGAGATATTAATATCTGAAAGACCTCATTATAGCCAGTTTTCATGACTTAATAAAACAAGCTGCCAGATCTCATCACAAAAATATTTCATTCATTTTGGAATACAATTAGGTGTTACACTTTCCTGTAGAACCAAGCTGAGTTGAAAGCTAATCATTTTACTCAATAATACAGACAATTATGCAGTTATTGCAAAAGTTCAAAACACAACACGAATACAATTTAAAAGAGCAAACACTGTCATATCCATGTAAGTGTGCTGACGTATAGGTTCCCTGGTATGACTGCACCTGCAGCTGCAATGTGTTTGTTACCGAGGGATTAGTAATTTCCTTCTTCCATCTTTGCAGCGATAAATCATCCACTGCTGCCGTTGGTCCCTCTGGACTCCACCGTCTGTTCTCGGACCACTGAAGGGAAAGAAATTAATGGAAACTGCTTCACAAAGCCTCACCATTCTTATCCATATCTGTTGTCTCTCTCACAGACTGAGCTCAAGGGGGTTTTTTATTTTTTATTTTTTGGGAAACATGTTGTCACTTTGAGAAAGAACATGTTTTGGGACAAAGTTTGAGCGAAGTGCTGGGTTGTACCATTTCATGCACAAAGCCTGGTTGTTCATTTAACCCAACCAGGGTGAAACTAACTGTCGCTGGGTTAAATATTATCCATCCACGGTGTTACTTCCTGTCCCATCGCCTTGCTGTAAATGTAGATTTGAGTTTATTGTTGTGTGCTTCATAAAAGAGAACACCGCATTTGTGTATTTAATGACATTTTACTTTTTTCTTGCCAAAAAATAGTTGCACACATGAATGCACGACTATAGATATACCACTGTAAACAAATTAGAGACTTTGAACTTGATTAAAAAAACAAAACAATAACAAAAAAAACCTTTAAATGATGTGACTCCACAGTCATTTGTAATGAAAAGGAACACCTGATGGTGAGATAAGGGTATTACAAAACAGTTATTTTGCATATTAATTGGTTTTAACCTGTCATACTTGATTAGCATTAATGGATATACAGCACGTTCCACTATTCACAGTGTCACAGTTGTCAAGATGCTCACTTTGCTAACTTTTGCTATCTTAGCTGATGGTCAGTGTATGAAGCCTTTTTTAAAACTTGATAATTAAATGTGGGACTTTGTTGTTCACCTGCAGAATGCAGTAGTTTCTTCTGGTGTAATGTTTTGAAAGGTAATGAGGCATGGAGTTTTTACCGATCTGTAAAAAAAGAAATTATTTGCTGGAGCAAAAGCCAGCAGCAAGCAGAGGAAAGTCGACCAGGATTGTGATGATATTAGTCTGTTATATCCTGCCCACTATGTGTTGTCCAAACCTCCAACTACTAAAGATGGATTGAGAGAGTTTTAAGAATCAGCAGGTGGGTCACAATAGCCTAGCCAGCTGCAAATGAGTTCCTAACAACCCCTTTGAACAACTAGACCCAACTTAATGGGTCTAATATACAGTTGAAACCAGAAGTTTACATACACTTTATAAAAAGACATAAAGCCTTTTTTCCCTCACTGTCTGACCTTTAATCAGATTAAACTTTTCCTGTTTTAGGTCAGTCAGGATTACCAAAATTATTTGTATTTGCCAAATGCCAGAATATTGAGAGAGATATTTTTTTTTAGAGAATTTTTTATTACTTTCTTCAAAGTCAGAAGTTTACATGCACTAAGATTGCTAAGCCTTCAAACTATTTGGGAAAGCCCAGATGATGATGTCATGGCTTTGGAAGCTTTTGATAGGTTAATTGACAACATTTGCGTTAACTGGAGGCACACCTGTGGATGTATTTTTTAAGGCACACCTCAAACACGCTGCTTCCTTTTGTGACAACATGGGAAAATGTAAAGAAATCAGCCAAGAGATCAGGAAGAGAACTGTGGACCTCCACAAGTCTAGTTCATCCTTGAGTACAATTTCAGATGCCTGAAGGTTCCATGTTCATCTGTTCAAACAATTATATGTATCAACACCATGGGAATGTCCAGCCATCATCGCGCTCAGGAAGGAGACGGGTTCTGTGTCCCAGAGACGAAGTGTTTTGGTGAAAAAGGTCCGTATCAACCCCAGAACAAAAGCAAAAGACCTTGTGAAGCTGCTGGCTGAAGCTTGTAAGAGAGAGTCATTATCCACAGTGAAAGGAGTCCTGTACCGACATGGGCTGGAAGGCTACTCAGAGAGGAAGAAGACATTACTCCAAAAGCAACATAATAAAGCCAGATTACAATTTGCAAATGTACACAGGGACAAAGACCTTAATCTTTGGAGACATGTCCTGTGGTCTGGTGAAACTTAAATCGAGCTGTTTGGCCATAATGACCATCGTTGCATTTGGAGGAAAAAGGGGGAAGCTTGCAAGCCTGAGAACACCATCCCAACTGTGAAGTACTGGGGGGTGGCAGCATCATGTTGTGGGGGTGTTTTGTTGCAGGAGGGACTGGTGCACTCCACCTGGCCAAGACTCATCCAGTGTAACTCAACTCCGTCCCCTTCATCTCACAAACT